AAAAAAAAAAGAAAAAGACTAATAAGAAATAAGAAGAGGTATTAAAAAACTGACAATACCTTAAAATCGCAGTTTGTCGTCTTTAATTTTTTTCTCTTTTGCTTGCTGTTTACTTCTTTAATTTCAGAACCTTCTGTTCACAGCCATAAAGTGGAACTGAAAAGCGGTAAGTTAGATTCCGGACTAAACTAAACAATAGAATATGACAATGCTGTTTTATGCGGTTCAATATATACACATACGTGTCTAAACCCTTTTGAATCGCTCAGTCTCCTTCTCAAAATAAGACTGATATTTATCTAAGCTGGTCAAAATATAAAATTTGTAGCTGACTGTTAGTGTAGCGGAAATAAATGTCTGCTGCAACAGTGGGCTAAACGATCACATATATAATTGTTTCACCTAAAAATGGTTTTTGAAATTACCGTCTAACGACAATATTTGAAAATTTTGGAAAAGTTTTGTAGCTGTGCTGAAAATAAAAAAAATTCGGTTTTTTTTTTCAAAAAATCAACATTTTATTATTTTAGTCAAGAAAAACAAAGTTTTTAGGAAATCTTTGTAAACCTGGGCTATTGAGCACAGTAAAGACTTGAACTTATTGTCGACTTCTAGAATTTCATCGCTAGAAATGCATGTAAATTATTGTTTGAATGAAATTCGTTGTCGATATTGTTTAAATAAGAAGACTAATCTAACAAAACAAGTTGTACGTAAATTACGTAAATTACAATAAATAGACAACATTTTTTGAGTCATTAGTTTATGATTTTCGTATCGGAAATTTACTTTGATATCAGTTGTTTAGATGCTCTGTCAGTAGTGCTGCTTATTTAATTAACACCTGAAAATATTTAACAAAACAGATTTATGAAACGTAAAATTGTATTCAGACGCGGTCCGTTACCAATTTATAGCAAGTTTTAGAAAATTTTAAAGAGTAGATAAAAAGACTTTTTTTATTATGTATTATCAGACTTTATACATTAGCTGTGTATTCTTTTTCAATTTTTCAGTTTTTATATTTTTTTTTTTGTTTTCAGATTCACTAGTTTTTAGCGATACAGAAGATGTAGTTAGAGACGAAGACGGAAGTGAAAGAAATCATGGTAAGTTTTTCTGTATACATTATATAAGGCGGTTAATTCTGACAACAAAAAAATAAAACAATAAAAATCTTATATTTTAACTTATTATTCTCAAAAACTGACAAAATTTTAAATAACGAAGGTCTTCCAAAGTAGTTAGACACTCAGCAAACTGCAAACTGAGTTAATTCTGAAAAACTTGAAAAATTTACGAAAACAAATAATAAAGTTGTTTTGTCAGAAACAATGCGATAATACAGATAAAAAAACAGAAAGTGTAATTTGACAGTGTGTCTTAAACATCTGAAAAACATAATAACACTTTTACTTGTTTCAGAATTCCAAAACGAGGCTTCCAGAGACTACGACTCAAATTTAATTCGTCCACCAATTTCTACAGTAAATGACTTGTTTACAAGCGCTGAAATTTTGAAAAGAAAAAGTTTGTTTTAAAAAATTCTATTCTTTTTTATTCACACCAAACAGTTTAGCTTAGCTGTTTTGAAAGATACTAAAAAAAAGTTGCACAAACGTTTTCTAATATTAAAGCGGTCAGAAACTACGCATAAACTTTCTCGTAGAGAAATAAAATTTTAGTAAATAATTTGTAATCAGGAGTAAAAGGTAGCAGATTACTTTAAAACTGCTTATTAGATTAAACCATATTTCCTTTGCAAAAAGAAAGTTTTCTCAAATGTGCCAAACAAATGAAAATAATGGCAGTATCTGAAAACGATTGTTTCAAAACACTTAAAATGACTTTATTAGTTGTTTCAAAAGTTACAGATTACATAACTCAGATGCTGAGTCCAACCTCACTCGGAACTCGTCAATATAGACCACACCTTCACCACCTTGGAAAGGGTCTGTCAATAATTTTTCAACAATTAAAGCTGCCGGATGTAATACCAGAGATAAATAAAGAGCTAAAAAAAGGCTGGTTGCTATTTAAAAAAACCGTTCTTTTTGCAATGCGTCGTTTATTCATCTTTTTCAACAAAAAACTTAAAAATCTAAAAATTTTAAAACTGCCAGTTGAG